TCACAGTATGAGTAGCGAGTATACAAACTACCACAATATGAAAAGTTTCACAGTATGAGTAGCGAGTATACAAAGCCACACAGTATGAACAATACAGAGGCAAGGGAAGCCCCTCAGTATGAGTAGTGAGTATACAAAGCCACACAGTATGAGGAGCTAGTATACAAAGCTGCACACTATGAACAGTATGGAGTCAAGGGAAGCCCCACAGTCTAAATATTGAGTATACAAAGTCATACAGTATGAGTAATGAGTATACAAAGCTGCACAGTATGAAAATATGGAGACAAGGGAAGCCTCACAGTATGAGTAGTAAGTAAACAAAGCCACAAGGTATGAGTAGCGAGTGTACGAAGCCACACAGTACGAATAATATATATACAAAGTAAGTATGGTGACCACAACTGAAATCACTCAATAAGTGCAGCAAATAAAAAGTACTGCCAAATATGAAAAGTATATATGCAGTCAGTCAAAGACTATAAAAGAAATGCAAGGCTTCAAAGCTACAAACAAGACTAATGTGCGAATGCGACAGCGAGGAGAAATCAAAGCCCTTTCCTGGGGCACTGGGGAGCCGCTACTGCGTTACTCCGTCTCGCTAATACTGGAGAAACATCCCCAGCAATGGTTTGAAAGAGCCCGCTTTCCAGGATGAATTTTTCATGCCCATTTTCCTCGGGGTTTCTTGTATGTCATGCAGCATTACAAGGTTTTTTAAAACACCTGCAATGGAAACATTCAATTCCTCACTGTTCAAGGGGCACTGGTTTGGGGAGTAATTGCTTTCGGGGCGAGACTATGAAAAGTATTTATTTCCCCGACAGCAGCGGCACATTTTTCCCATCATGCCTCATGGCGGCTGATTTAAACCAGAGCTGAAGGGGAAATGCAGACAATTATGAGTTGGAAGGCCATGGGGTGTGAAATCCAGAGCTGAGTCACACGAAAAGAACCATTTCAATACAATAACATTTTTGGTGTAAAAAAATACCTCAACCTTCATTTAAAACGAATTGATTGAATGAAGGTATTACTTCTAAAATGACTGTAAATGGAAACTCCTTCTGTTTACTGATAGTGTATGGGGTGTGTCCAGCATGTAATCAGAAGAAATAATGTAATATAGAGGAACATAAGTATAATGATGGAGAGCAAAGTGGTACATGAAGACCTGCGTGACGAGAGGGGCTTACCTTGAGGATAAGCTGCTTCAGAAAGAGGAGCATGAAAGCTCGCAGGGAAATGATCTCCTTCTGTGAAGGACGGGGTCCATCTGCAGAAATGGGGGGGGGGTCCAATCATGGCAACTCGCACAAAAGGAGTCAGAGTAGTGAAAGGCAGAGAGGGCAGTGTGGTTACCCCGGCCCATTCCCTGCATCTTGCCCTCCGCTGATGGACCATCTAGCCCCAGCCACACATCAGCAACTGCTGACCACTGCAGACGGGATGAGTGACTTATTCACTCTTCTTTGCTTTGTTTTGTTTTAAATTGCCCTCTAACTTCTTTCCAGGATTGGCTCTTAGGGGCCCTTGGAAGCCCTTAACTTTGGAAACTCCCCTACCAAGAAAACCGATGGTCGTTTCACTTCCTGCATAACGCAGGTAATTCAGTCAACTGCCTATTCTGCCTACAGCTCGAACTGGCCCTGCTTCTGGCATTGCTGGCCTACACATTAATTCAGCCAGATTAAGCAAACAGCTCACAAGTGTTTTGAAACTGGTGGCACTTTTGGGATGTGAACCTGAAACCTTATGTTCAAACGCTCACAGGTCACATTAATCGGTCCTAGCTGAAGCCTTAACAGAACACTTTCTGATATTGCTCAGCAGAGACTGAAATAGGAAGTCAGATAATAAATAGACAATAGAGCTCACCATTTGGCACATTGACAGAAGCACAGTCAGTCAAACGGCTTTCCCCTGGAGGGCATTCAGTGTGATGCCTTTTGTCTGCAATGAAGTTCCTGTTTGCCTTTTTCGCATCTTAGTGTCTATTAAGCCCAGGCGGAGAAAATTGATCCATAGCATGACGATGACTAAAAATAAATGTGAGAGCCGAGGTGCGAGGCAGGAGAGAGTGGGAAGCTGAGGGGGTGCATGCCATGCTCCTCTCGGCATCCTGGAACCTTTTACTTTCAGCTTTTTTTCAATTAGCAAGTGTGGACCACATGGGTCACTTGAACGGCAGATTAACCTCCACATTTCTCTAACAGGTCTCAGCGACTGACCACATGTCGGCAATGCGTGTGAGAGAGCAAGGGAGTTTATCAATACCAAGAAGACAAACACTGTACTTGCGTTCTTGGCAAACGCGGTATTGCTAACTTGGGCTGCAATGAATCATGGGATTGTTCCCATTAGCAAGGATGCAACCGATGCACCCTTGATATTTGGGGCTGGGCAAGAATGACATCTGGGTATTTTTACTGTCCTCTGTACTTCTTAAATATTGGAACTGTACTTCAACAATGGAAGATGACATTAAACACATACACAAGAACACAAGAACGGTCATTTACTGATGAACACCCCAAGTAGGGACTGACGGACCCCTTTACATTGCCAGACCTTTGCCATCTGCCCTACTAACAAAGTCTGCATCTCATGTGACAATGCGATTCACAGTCCTCTGATTCACTCTCAGGGCTGGTTTACGGGGCAGTGCAGTACCCTCACACCTCCAAGGCTATGTGTCTTCTTGCTCTCCCTGTGTTTGCACATGTATGCAGTCCAAAAACATGCACCTAGGTGAGCAGGTGTCCAAACTGTGTCCATTTGTGCCATACACACACACTGGCATCTCATGCAACATGCTCCTGGGATAGACTCTGGGCTCACCACTACCCTGTACCGCAGATAAGGGGTTATGGAATATGGTTGCATGGATGGAGTTACTCTCAAAAGTAAGCTGAGCTAAGATGAACCACTCAGTTCAGCCAATAAGTTAAGCAGCGATTTGATAAAACACTCTTATCGTGGCAACAGTACCACAGCAGGGCAGGAATCCAGGATTTACCCCAAATTGATCCACTGCGACTGCATGCCTGCATGACATCAGATGAGCAGCGTCTGGCACCCAGGGACAAGGCCCCGCAGTCGGAGACCGCTAATCCACCGCCACCGCAAGAAATAATCTCATTGGTGCTGGCCAAGGCGTCCCAATCATCCCCATCCTCATTCCACACATCTCCACAAATGTCTGTGCTTCCAGGGTGATACCTAGAATCGTTCCTGTGGATAACAGGCTCTGGGCCTGGGCTAACTGCCACAAGCTTCACACCCCACTGGTGCAAGCTAGAACATCATCCTCCATGACCCCCGCACCTCACAAGCTGCCCTGATTTTATGTTAAATTTTGTATCTTTATTCTCAAGAACCTCAAGCGGATGGGAAGATGAAGAAACAAACCGCATTAGATATCGGTCTGCGTGCATATTTGCCGATTTGTTAGGCCTCATTATAGGTCCGGGTCCATTTCGGGAACTAGAATCAGACCATCACTACTAGCTTTCAGGCATTTAAGGAAAAAAACGGATAATATACCTGTAAAAGATAAGCAGCGTCCCTCTGTTATTGGCAAGATGTATAAGGCAGCCAGAAACCTTGTTTTCAAAGGCCTCTCCTTTGTTCCCCATGATTGAACTATTCATCTCTGTCCATTCCTACTTCCTCCCCCAATTCTTTGGCAGAAAAAGACTCATCCCAGGTGAGTCTGGTCTGAATACTCCTCACCAAGTAAAGAAATGACAAGACTTGGCCTTTCCACCTGTCACATGGTCTCCCAATTCCACCCAAACCCTAAGAAATCTGGTATTTAATGTGACTGTCAATCACTGCTGGACTGTGTGTTTTTAACCCAACAGATACCCGGTTTGGAAATAGAGATTTCCCAGCAATAAACCCAAAATTTAACACTGCACTACTGCAGTGCATATGCATGTGTCTTGCAGTAACTCTTCATATGAATTACTATTCACGATTATGCACATTAACGCTTCCAGAATTCTCTATAGTGCCTGAATATGTGCATTTGCCCATACCATGAACTGGCATCCCACCCCTGCCTTGTGCCCCATGCTGCCTGGAACAGGCTCCAAGCAGCCCCCCACCCTCAGTGACCCAGTACTCATTAACTCATTGCAAGACGGATGAACTATTTTATTCACCAGTGATGCAGCTTAGCTATGGAAAAAGCTGATCTCTATAACATGCATGTTGCATGGGTCTAACCACACATGTAGACCCTGGTACCACTGCATCTCAAGACCATGAAACGTTTGGAATCGAGGTACTGTAGCTCCCACCCCACGCTCAGCTCCAATGATGCTCTTCAGAGGTTTCACTGAAGCCCAGGTTCAACTCTGCTACAAGCACATCTCAAACCAAAACCTGACCCCTCAGAGTAAACACCTTGATTTTATTTTTACATATTTTATTTCCCCTACCTCTCCTGGGGGTGCTGCCTGGAGACCTCAATCTATCAAGATGTCCAGCACACCCTGCTACGTGACGTCGCCTCTACCAATGACGTGCATCCAGCTCGCCGTTCTGCCTGTGTCATCTTCCATGTATGACCCGCTGCCTGCCTTCTGGTTGCCTGGCGATTGGAGGCACCGGCTTGTCATCTCCCCCCTGCTCCCCGTTTGTGTCTCAAATTTTACTGTATCTGACTCTCCCTGCCGGCCCCTGGAGGATGGGCTCCCCCTTTGAGTCTGGTCCCTCACAAGGTTTCTTCCTTCTAGGGAGTTTTTCCTTGCCACTGTCGCCTATGGCTTACTCACTGGGGGCTTTGGGTGGGGATGCTGTAAAGCGCTTTGAGACGGTGTAATGTTGTGATAATGCGCTATACAAAAATAAATTTGTTTGTTTGTTTGATTTTTCACCCTGCTGTCACCAAGCAACAGGGTGGATTATGGGAAAACTAGTTTGCATTATTTGATCACCCCACAAGGTAAATTACATAATTAGCCACATTTTCATCAATAATGAAGAAAAACAAAATCATAAATCTCACAAAATATGGCAAAATAATTAGCAAGCCCTGCACTCACGGTCCAGTTTAATGCAAACTTTCTGCACCAGTGACCCAGCCTTGGTATGCAATTTCCGCATTATATCGAGGCTGCAATGTATTTCATGCATTCAGAGTCAATGTCTATGTGTTGCAGGCAAAACACAGATGCCACATGAATAATACAAATCAATCATAATAGTATGAAGTGCATTCCTCCGTTTTGACAATTTAACAGTTTTTACACAAGAACTTCCCTCTCACAAAAGTGAGCGAGTGATCCTGCATTCGTTTGCAGGGTAATTAATGGCCAGTGTTTATATGCTTTTTGGCTTTGATTATGAGAAATCATTAGCAGTGTGTACAGAGGCAGTGACTGGATACAGGGTAATTCATTAGAGACACACCATTCCCAGGGATGTTCTTCCCGCACGCCTGTTGAACAGCTAAAGATTATGAAGGGGTGGGGAATCGCAATGCTTTTATACATCGCTAATTAATATACCCCTGGAACCAAGCAACAAAAATAACAAACAGGACTGGAAGCAGACACTTGTTAAGCACATAGACTTGCAGTTGGAGGGTTTTGGGTATACAGTATGGGTAAAAACACAATCCTATTTTATCAAAAAATGTCAGACAACTAAGCATTTTTTTAAAAAAAGGCAAGGAAATGCACTCTCACTGCCATATTGCATTACAGCTAATGCGAACTTGCTTGGCAGAGAGAGAGAGATGGAGAAAGATGCCAGCTTCCACCACAGGACCAACACCACGTGGAAGAGGAGGAAGAGGAAAGACAGACCACAAAACTGATAACCTACGGATTTTTCTTCCAATTTGTACCTATTTTTTTCTCTCACTGAAAACATCTTTATCACACACCCACCTTGTTTAGATTAACCAGTCACCCCACCACACCCCCCACCCCACCCCATCACTGTCACCATGGTAAATGTTCCCGGGCACCTGCCCATCACATTCCTCTTCCCCTGACCACTCGCTCTAAGTGTCAATGGAACCCCGGGAAGCTTATCAAAGATATTGCGCTCACCCCCAGGCCCTCCATGCTGAGCCCCCCCAGCAGCCCCCGAGGTGGTGGTGCTCACCCAAACCCTTGGGCGTGATTCCACTGCTCTCCATGGGATTCAGTACCCAGTAGTAGAACTTGAGCGTGTGCATGAGCTGCAGCACAGTACCGACACGTCGGATGGTGCTGTAGATGGTTGCCGTGCCGATGAACTCTGCTGACAGGTATGTGTAGAGGGAGAGCTGTACCTGGAACAGTGGAGAACCACACACACCCTGTCAGACACACAAAGCACCGTGAAGACCAAGAACAGGGGAAAACTGCATAATCATGCACTGTCAGACACACACAGCATCACGACAACCTGGGATGGGGGAGAACCACACACACACAGTGTCAGACACACACAGTACCACGACAACCTGGAACAGGGGAGAACCACACACACCCTGTCAGACACACACAATACCACGACGACCTGGAACAGGGGAGAACCACACACACCCACGCCGTCAGGCTTGGAAATCACATAGACTTACATACATCCACCTCAAACTAAGATTCACGTCTCCCCCCCCAAGACTCCAAGGACAGAATAGAAACACATAATAAAGTGGGGGGAGGGGGGACACTATCATCATGGGAGGGCGAATCAAGTGAGTGCAGTCACCCAGATTGATTTGTCCAGTCTAGTTCTCAGTCCACACTATCGATTTGGGTGTTCAGTTCTGTTTCCTCTCAAGTAACCCGAATCCCCTGCTGCAGGCCCTGAGAGTGACACGCTTGTGTTTTACAATTGCCCCACTCCCCCTGCCAAAACAGCCACCTGAGTACCCCCCCCCCCCCCCCCAAAACACCCCCCTGAACCCCCCCCCCCCCCCGCCAATACCCCTGTTTGTTTCTCTGAATCATTCATCCATCCATCAGCCCCGGATAAAGTGAAACAAAAACCCGCAGCTCTTCTGTGATCCTCCACTACGCTGGATCTTTCCAAGCCGTGCACAGGGGCCCTGACAGAAAAGATGGCTGATTCATCGCTAGGGGTGTAAAGATGCATTGATGCATCGTGATGAATCGATTTTTAATTTGCCAATTCAATGTAAGGTCAGGATCAATTTTTTTTTTTTGGGGGGGGGGTGAAATACCTCCAGGCTACACGCACGTTCAAAGTAGCAGTGCTGGTTCACGGATTTCCGAAACGCAGGATGGCAAGGTGAAGCTCATTAATATTCATAAAGGAAGCACTACCTGATGATCTTGGCACTACGACACTATTGGGAAACTTACCCCTGCTTTGTAGAGCAGAACGATCTCTCTGATGGTTAAGATAATCGTTGCATTATAATGCTTTTGGGAAATGCCACTGTTTTGTAGAGCAAAACAGTCATTGTTTTTGCATGCTACAGAGCAATGGTCAAGACCATGAGGTAGCTAACTAGCTAACTAACTAAAAAATTATGTTAGTCTTGAAGATGCACAACATATTAGTTAACATATCGGTATCGGCCAATATTTGTGTAAAAGTAAGATATTAGCATTAATCCGATGTTTCAGTCCAGCATTTAACTTTATCAATATTCTAAGTTAGCAGCACGAATTTTACATTGACATGTTCTCCCTGTTAGATAATATCAATGAAAATAAATGTTCTGAGATCCAACTTTCTTTATATTCCGTTAATAATATGTAATTAAGTCCCAGTGGTAAAAAGATTCAAAAAACAATCTAATTTAGGTTATCAAAATAGTCGAATAATCAATTAATCAAACTGAATTATGATAGAAACTAATGATTTCTGATATAATTCTCAATAATTGTAATCTACGGCAATTGCCTTGGGACCAACAATTTAAACCCCTATTCATCACATATGAGCTCTCCCTAGTCTTTTCATTGGTTTTCCTTACTAATGTTTTTACTGGTATTTTGCTCCTCATTGGCTACACAAGGTCATGTGACACAAGAACAAAAACCAAACAAACTCTTCTGAGGAATGAAAAGCGCAGGCTAAACTGTGCATGGAGGGTGAAATCCTGAGTCCAAGATGGCCTCATTCTTAAATGTCTACATCTTTATCTATTCTTTCTGTCACCAGACCATGGGCTTGTGCAATTTATTTTACCACATATCAGTGATTCATAAAACTCCGTTTCCATGGTGCCAAACATGGTCTGCGCACAAAGCCGTTCACCCCCTACACGCCTCATCTCCTCGTCACGGGGTATTACGAAGAAGGAGGCTTCTCCGAGTATATGAACCGGCTTGCTGCAAGGGGTGGGGGTTGCAGACTAGCATCCATTAATCTTAGCAACTGTGATAAACGAGCTCTTCCTGTGGCTGTTTGAGACTCGTGGGAGCCAGTTGTGCTCCTCCAGCAAGTCGGCCCAAGACTTCTGAAGTCATGATGGCCGATGAGCACCATGTTTGATCCTTGATTCCGTTTTTCCCTGTTTCTGAAGAGAGTCACCCAAACAAGCAGCAGGCAGTACAGTGGCTGAAGGCACAGGAAACTCTCGTGTACACATCCAGGCATCGCAATGGCAAGGCGCCTTAGCACTCACCCACACAGACCTGAGCACAGGGAATCATAACCCCAGACACTGCAGCCCCAAAGTGCCCTTGATGGAGAAAGTGCCACACTCACAGGGTCACATCCCCGAACACAGCCCCACCTCCCCAGGCTCACCTTGGCTGGGGTGTGGATCCAGATGGCCGCGTTGAACAGGATGTGGTCGCAGAGCTGCTTGAGTAAAGGTGCACCGTGGGTCAGGCCGTCCAGGTACTTGGCAAAGGAAAGGAACTGCTCCAGCACGGCTCTGGTGATGTGGACCCTGGACGACTAGAGGGAAACGGTTGACACTTGTCAGAGACCCACGTGCAACCTGACCCACTGACCACATCCATGAAGAACACTTTGCTCACAGAGGATTATCATTCATAATGGAAAACGGCAGGTTTGGGTCAAGACTGGTACCCAATGAAAATATTAAAGGATTAAGTACATCAGACCTGCTCTAAACATGTGTATATTCCAATCACATGAATTAAAAATGTGGTCTCATGCAATCTGAATGTCATCATTATGTAACATCTATAAATATATACTGCATGTATAATGGCCTGATTAGTTGGTGCAGTGCATTCTGGGACAGCCCCATTTTAACACATCCATCCATCTTCCAAGTGCTTATCCAGGGTGACGGAGAGTCTGGAGCTTATCCCAGGAAGCACAGGGCACGAGGCAGGGAACACCCTGGATGCAAGGACATTACATAGAGAGACACATCAAGTCACACGTATATGTTGAGTGTGTTGCACAGAAGCTGTAATCCTCTAATCATGGGTTCAAGGCTGGCTGCAGACCAAACTCATCTGTTTCATTTTATATTTGGTTTCCTTTTCCCCAGTGTTTTGTTAAATTTTCTATCTTAGTTCTTCTGTCCTAGGTTTGCCCTGTTCATGATTTTGGTTTTGCTTATGTTATCCTAGTCTTCCCTAGTTTTGTTATGCCTTGGTGTTTGTTAGGTTCCCTGTTTCCAGGGGGGTACTCCATGAAGCAGGATTAAGGGAAAGTCTGACTTATTTCGACAAGTCAGTCTTACTTAAGTGAGAGTTCCGTTTCATCAACGTGTCTTAAATGAATCCCCGCTGAATTACCATGGTAATTTAGGCCTGCGAACAAGCCTGGTCCGGACCAGGATAACTGTCTCGCTTAGTTTAGCGTTGTCTCAAAGAACGTCCGACGTGTGGGAACAGATTCCCAAAAAATCGTTCCGTCGGACGAAATTCCGCGATCTTACTATTCATGTCACGTAATCTGTCGAATTATATGTCCTCATCTGACATTATATTTTACATTATCTGATAAATTTTTTTTGTTTATCTGTAAGGTGTACCAAAATGACATGATTTTGTTTGAGTTAGCGGGAGAATGAGTCTTGTATATACGTATATAAAAAAATGGAACCCTGTAGTCAGTGCTGTGAGTAAAAGCAAGACGAGAAAGTAGAGAATAAAAACCATCCTTTCTGAAGTAAAGCTCTGCGTGATACTTCCATAATATGGAGAACAGAGCTGAGATTGCTATATAATCAATATAATAAACCCTATAAAATCACGTCTTAGCATTAAAATTAATTCCAAAATAATTACAGTAAAATCCCGTTATAGTGGACTCGCATATAACGGAATTTCGCTTATAATGGACAAACAATTTGGTCCCCAGGGCTGCTGTTAGCTGTAGTTCTGTTCGGCTATAACGGACATGCAGTTCCGCCTACAAGGCGTGTGGCGTGCAGGTGATATCCAGCGTAGATTCGTACGTAGTCGGGATTATTAATAGTCACTCATCTGGTCAGGTAAAGTTGGATTACTACATGTACAATATAATAATCTATACCACAAGTGTGTCTGCTGAGGTATGTGTGGCATGAGTAAATGGTGTCCTGTAGTTGTGTTCTGGGCATACAGCAACTCTGGATGTAACGGACTGTTTTGCTAGGTCCGTTATAACGGTATTTTACTGTAAAATAAAAGCGTACGCATGTTGCAAAGGTGAAACATAAAATGCAATGACTGTAATTGGAAAAAAAATCCGTTAAAATAATATGAACAGGAAGATATCTTTATATTTTTAGTCACTGTCTACTTTGTTTTAGTCACTGTTTACTACTAAAATAGCAAAGACAACATACGGTTATTTGTGCAGAACATTTCACATGGATGTGATTTAAAGTATTTTACGGAGATCAAATAATATTATACAGTAACAACGACAGGTGAAATCAACCCAGAAGGTTCCCCGTTGGCTATGGGGATCGAACGAGCAATTTTCGCATTATAAGGCGACAGCATAAACCACTGTACCGCCATGTCACTGTACTAAGCACTTGTAACATTTACGTAACTTATGCATTTAGTCTGTCTGCAATTCATTGCCAAGCCAACTCCCTGGCTGTGTTTATGGCCACAGTATTGCCTTTTTTAACGATTACATCTTCGTATTTTTCATACAGCTCCATCAGCAGCGTTTATTCTGCGGCGGAAAAAAACACCGCTGTCGTTTTACACACTTTCCGACTCATTTGATCAAGCTATCATTGATCCATTCATTTGGGCTTCTTAAATATCTTGGTTGTGCGCAAGTATGCAAGTCTGTCTTGTATGAGCATTCATTAATTAAAACTGAACTGCGTTCGTGGATCGACGTAAGGCTAAGTTTAGAGATGGAGGTAGGTTGAGTCTGACTTTTTCGGGAAAGTCTGCCTTTTTTTTAGCTACTTTCATGGAATACCCCCCAGGTCTTGTTCCATGGCCTTGTTGATTAGTTGTTCACACCTGCCCTCTTCATCATCATCAGTATATTTAAATGCCTGTCTGTTCATTTCCCCAGTCAGTCATTGTGCTATGTTAATGTGTGTTATGCTGTTGTTTTCTTCTAGTTCTGGCCCTGGTGTTGCCTGTTTCCCTTTGTATGTTAGATTATTGGTTTTCTTTTAATTTTTTTTCCTCTAGTTTAATTCTGACCCCTCGTGGTCCCTTTTATTTTGTGGTTTCCCTTGTGTTCTGTTTTGTTTAATAAACCCCTTTAGTCTCTGAGCTGCAAGTGGATTGTCCACCTTTTTCCTGTCTGAACCATGCCCTGTAGCCGTAACTCACTCACTGAGCATTTCATTAGGATCACTATGTAATACTGGGTAGGGCCTCCTTTTGCTCTCAAAATAGCCTCGAATTTTTTGTGGCAGGGATTCCACAAGATTGTGGAAACATTCCTTTGAGGTTGTGGTCCATGCTCACGTGACTGCATCACGCACTTTCTGCAGAGTTGTCAGCTGCACATCCATGCCGCAAATCTCCCGTTTTACCACATCTCGAAGGTGTTCTACTGGATTCGGATACAGTGGCTGCGGGTGACCACTGAAAAAAACTGACCTCATCTTCATGTTCATGAAAGCAGACTTTTGCATTGTGACATGGTGTCTTATCATGCTGGAAGTAGGCATTAGAAGGTGGATAAATTGTGGCCAGGAAGGGATGCACAATACTCAAATAGGCTGTAGCATTCAAACAATGATCGATTGGCATTAGTGGGCCCAATGTATAGCAGCACCAACGACAGCCTGGACTGTTGACACAAGACAAAATAAGTCCATGAATTCTTGTTGTTGATACCAAATTCTAACCCTACCATTTGTGTGCCTCAGCATAAATGGAAATTCATCAGACCAGGGTACGTTTTTCCAAATATTCAACTGTCCCATTTTGGTGAACCTATACACACTGCAGCCTCAACTGTCTGTTTTTGGCTGACAGAAGCAGAACCCAACATGGTCTTCTGCTGTTACAGCCCACCCACCTCAAGGTCCAACATTCTGTGCATTCTAAGATGCTTTTCTGTTCACCACAGTTGTATAGAGAGTATATCCTAGTTACTATAACCTGTCTGTCAGCTCAAAACAGTCTCCTCTAACCTTTCTCATGAACAAGGCTATTCTGTCCACAGAACAGCCAATCGCTGAATGTTCAGGGTCGCTAGGCACTGAGCACCATGACACTGTCTGAAGTGTGGATTGGTCACGCCTGTGCCCTTCCTTATACAACTCATCTTATTCTACAGTAATAGCAGAGGAAGCGATCTCCCGTCCATTAGACACTCACCCTAACCAGTCCTAACAGGAGAGGCAAAATGCCCATTCTGGGCAGGACAGTGTCCGGACAGACTATGAAGCAAATGTTACTTATGGACCCACTGAAGCTTCATCCCCATTCGGAGTTGTGTAGGATCATACCGCGCCGCTCCTGGGGGAGCCACTTACCTTCTCCAGGAGGTACCCGATGACCAGGAAGCCCTTGCCCCCCAGCATCTGCTCCTGCATGGCCACAGAGCTCTTCAGAAGCTCCACCAGGAAGGCGAGGAGCGTGGCACTGCAATGCAGGAGAGTGTCACTGGGAGCAGATAAGGGTCTTTAAACAGGGATAAAAAGCTGTACATTCAAACACCAGGAGGTTAACTGCCATGGTGTCGTTAACCTCCAGCCTTAATTGCCTCCCTAAATACCCAGCCCCATTAACGGACACGTAAACCTGCGAACTATGAAAATTGCTTCGTGCTGGAGACGCCTTACGGGGAAATTCTCATCGAGATGTGATGAGCGGTCACACCTTGCACGTGGCTTTGTTTAACTGGGGGAGATGAGGCTTTCACGGAGCTGAAAGGTAAATCTATAAAAGGCTTCATTAGCTCCAGTGTAGAAAAAACTTAACGAACATACCCTGAAGGTAGGAGACGGACACGACCTGAGCGTGACCAGACTGAAGGCTGAACAGAAAGGCATGATCCACTATCCCCCAGTCAACAGTTTGACATTACAAACACAGCAGCCATCGAGGTAACACATCTGTGAGTCTTGAAAAAGTCCAAAGAGACATACAACAAAATCCCTGACTGCTTCCCTTATTAGACACCATGCCATCTGACAGCAGCATTCAATGGCTGAGGCAGCTGACTCTACACACTACATTGTTTTGCGTGCCACTTCCTGTTCGTGGTAACATAACAGGAACTTGGTAACCTCTACTCACCAGACCATGGTCTCCACCTGGCTATCATTCTGCTGGCGGTAGTCCAGCTGAGCAAAAAGTGGGAAGAGCACCTGGATGCCACCGATGGAGTGGATGGCACTGTGGATGGAGTGTGTCACGATGGCTTTCACGTCCTGTGGGGTGGGGGCGGGGGTGATCACAAACACATACAGTACGAAGTCGAGTCTCCAACTCGCTGTTTGTGAAAAAGGGAAGGTGCCTTGGGGGGTTTCACCCACCTGCAGCATGAGGGCATGGGGCGAGTGCACAAAGATGGAGGGATTCTCCTTGGGCGAGGACTCCAGGCAGAGCTGGGCGTCGGTGGCCTTGGCGTTGTAGGTGAAGCAGATGCTGCTGGCCAGCTTGCCGTCGTACAGCACTTGCTTGTGGTGCTCGGCCAGGTGCAGGTCGCTCTCAGACTTGAACTTGAAGGTGCTCTGGAGAAGGTTCCCAGAAGATTTCATTTTGCAAAAAAAGCCGGATTAGGAGATCATTCTTATCTTCAGTAAACAACATATTATTGTAGCATATGAGACAGAAAAAATAATATCTGGTTTACGGATTCAGGGAGGTAAATGCATGGTTTCTACCCTCCCAATCCCGTAGCCTCTCTAAATTACACAGCAAATTAATTACCAAAAAGAAGCTGTGCAATACATAACAGCTGTAACGAGCATCACAAAGCTTCCCACATAATTTCTAATCGGTCATAATTGTATCAAGGCAAATAAATAAAAGTCAGACTTGGCGGGAAAATCATTTTTACTAAACACATCGAGTTATTGAATGCTGAGCACGGGAAATCATTCACAGAGAGATCTCATGGATGGATGACGGCAAGAAAGATAATATATCACACGCGCAGCCAAAGAGACGCAATTATTTCAGCGTGTCCACACAGACAAGCCCATGACCTAAATCAGCATATTACTGTTCATTGGGGCTGCTTCTCCAGAACATTGAGATCAGTGCAGTAACAATATGGCCAACTATAATTTGACACATTGATGAAGGAAGGATTTTTATTATTAATTCTCTTGAAAGCATTTGTGGTGTTCTTTTAACATGTTGCATTAGTAATCATGAAAATGTTCAGTCTTATATGTCATGACTGGTCATTACAAAGGGGGGTGCACTCTGTAATGTAACTGCTGTCCAGGACAATAACGCCTTAAGCTGAAAAGGCATCAAAAGAAACCATTAAGTTTTGACAGCATCGACAGGGAGGTGATGCGTGCCCCCCTTTACTTAACAGACATCCCAAAGCATGCTGTCCAGTCAATCTTTGGGGGAGAGGAATGGACACACCGCAGATGCCAAGGAAAATGATGGATGAGTCCCTCTCCCCCCCCCAAGCATCTGCTTGGCACTGTACTTGTAAATCCCCCATGCTCACAGCTGCACTGGGCTCACCCTCGGCTAGTGTGATGTCACCCCAAGCTGACATGGAGATGGCCAGACCGGCAGATATGGGCTTTCCCGTCTCTGCAAATTTTTAAAGCACTAGGTCATGCCTCTGTGCCCTGACACTCCTTCCCATCACCCTGAAGGCACACAGCTCTCACATACTCCTGCTCACAAGAAAAGAGCAGCATGTGAGTGAGTGAACCCACACATAGTGTCTTTTTGCTCTACCTCCAAGAATGGTGCAACAACCATGGTGAGCATCTAAGAATCCACCGCTGAGGATCCCTTATCAATAACAGCAAACCACACACCATTACAGCATCACATTGCCTTGATGTTTCACCCTATGTGTCTTTCAACACTTTCTGCTTCACAAATGGTCCCAGATCCCCACAAGAAGTTTGCACGAGCTTGTCAGAGAGCACGTACACACGCGTAGAGCAGCCCTGCCCTGTGGATTCTCTTTGTTCCACACCTGGCATAGCAACGTGTAACTTGTCCATAAAGCACCAGCCTAGCGAATGCATTACATATGCTAATGTGACCTGAGAGTATATGTGATGGGCTGAGCACAAACATTGTCCTGTAAACCATGATTAATTTTTTGTTTTTAATGTATACTGTGTGGGAGGCAGACAACTCTCACAGCGCTGGTAGTGCTGGTAATTCTGACAGTGCGCATTCACTGCTCACACCCTGCTGCGCACACTTAGGGTGTCGCCACCTCACATCTGTGTGCATCATACTCAGCCGAGATGCGACCGTTCACGCTGTCACCGAAGAGAACGACGAGTCATGGAGCTGCTCTCTACGGATCTGGTCCACAGCAGCACATAAAATGGATGTCAGTTAAATTCAGATTAAACTGCATATTTACCAAACAAAAGCATGACAGACATTCCATAGAAACCAGGCAACTGCTCATTAGTGCTGCTCTTAGGCCACCTGCCACCACGGACGGTGCCCCACCAGAGCCCAAATGAAAACTTCAAAAATCAGGTCATTGCAAGAAACATTGCACTTTTAAGAGGATAAGTAAGGTCACAACAAAATACTTCTCTTTTTTTCTTGAGCCATTATTGGCAATATAGATTAAAAAAAAAAAAAAACATGTACATGAATAATTTATGGATTCTGACATACAAATTAGTATCGTTCCCACTGACTTGCTGCTTTAAAGCAAGCCTGGCTTTAAAGAAAGGCCCGAAAGTTAGACGTGCATAGGGGTGATGAGCATGCCCAGAAGAGCCCAGGGGAGACCGGCCGTGATTCAGCGCCAGGGCCCCATGCCAGCGGCAGCGTATAAATTTTAATCATACGCCCCAGGATGGGCAGCAAAGTTCATCACTCGAGCTTGTGAAGTGCCGCAGTTTGGCTACGGTGCCCCGACGCAGTCGCGACTCAGAGAGGATGTCAGCTTAGCTGCCACGTGAATTGGTTTATTCCTCACTCGCACTAAGGCACCTCATGCTGGACGTGTCAAAGGCCCGCCGCTCCATGCTCATTGCAGTCCACACTACGCCTCCGCAAGCTACTGTACTGCCGCTACCCTCTGGCTAACCTATTGTCTATTGTCGCTGCCTGCAGACTAACCTTAGCTCCCATACCTACCCTTAGCTACCTTGGCTACCCACAGGCTAGCCTTAGCTACCGTTGCTACCCACAGCCTAACATTAGCTGCTGTTGCTACCCACAGCCTAACATTAGCTGCTGTTGCTACCCACAGCCTAACATTAGCTGCTGTTGCTACCTACAGGCTTGTCTTACCTACTGCTCACGGCACTTAGGCTGACCTTAGGTATCGTCGCTATCTGCAGGCTACTACTCGCTGCCCTGCCTGGACTGCTGATGCCAATGGCAGGGCCTCTTGCTGGCCTTGATGAAGAGTGCCAGCTCTGGGTGGGGTGGCTCCAGAGCAAGATTAAGCCTCAAAGATGGAGGACAGCATGGAAAGCTGGGTCAGCTGGTGGGAGACTCCTCAGGGACGTGTCAAGAAGCACGTTTGCCGGGCAAGGTCACATCCTGCTGCATGTTTAATATGCGCATGTTTATCGCCATGGGATGAGGAAAAAAAAAACACCAAATTAAAACGCAGTCATTGTAACAGCAGGAAGCCGTCATTCCCTGCTCCAGGTACTCTCAGCAGAGAGAGAGAGAGAGAGAGAGAGAGGGAGAGACAAACACAGACACACTGCCAAGTCACCACTGATATATATAGCTGCCTCTCAAAAATCCAGTCATTTGAAACAGTCACACGCCCCCCCCTCCCCACCAGAAGTAATTAGCAGCAATGCAGTGACGCAGGAGATGCTCAATAAGCCGAACAGAAGTAAGCAGGAGGTCAGCCTCTCAGAAAAAGAGCCAGTGAAGGACACACTCAGACTACACAGGCAATAAATACAGGAGCAGGCGCTGGGGCTCACAGCACCAGCACAGGGGTCAGGGCCAGAGCATGGCTCCGTTAATGAACACTGCCGCCCTGCATGTAAAGTCACCAGGAAAAAGAACAAAACACTTCACTAAGTTGGTCTGATTTTAATGAAAAAGAGTGAGAACACATTATTTACACTAATGAGTACACTCATTTATTTGGGGAGCCTACAACCCCCCCCCCCAAGCACGCCCTAGCGACACCTCTGGACATGCACAAAGAGCAGACTTAGGAATCTTATTTCATAAACACCCACAGCTGTCACCTAAACACAACCCCTGAGGATGAGACCAGCAATTGGGGTTGACTCCACTTTGCCTGTCTTCCCATGCTGGCCATCACGTTAATCTCAAGGATCACGTGATGTTCAGTAGCATTTATCAGAGTGACTGACATTGGCCCTGCGAGCGAATGCTAATGCACAAGCGGCCCAGTTTACAGTGGCTTCCAGTTACAATAAGGGTGGGGCCACACACCTTGTAGCCAGGCCCCAGCTGGTGTATGGCGAAGATCTGGGCCGGGTTGAGCGCCTCACTGAACACGTAGATCGCCCCCAGCTGGCCACAGAAGACTCGATTGGCATCTGCTGTCTCCGATGAGCCCAGGAAGCATTTGTCGTAACTCTGTCACCGGGTGGGGGGACACACACAGAGCTATGCAGTAACAGTGTGGTCCCATAGCAGGATGGTGGTTAGTCGTTCTGAACAAATTCAAAGCATCATTCAACTAGCCGGGACAAATGGTCCACTTAAAAAGAGCTCTTAAGATTCCCGAGATGCATTCATATTGTAATTAACACTTGAAATACAGAATACGATCCATGCATTCAAGAGAAAAGCAAATATTTGTCGGCAAATGAAGACCGGCTGCTCATTGAGAATCAATGCCAGCCACCAATGTCATTTTGCCGCATTAACGAAGGAGTCGAGGAGAACGAGACGATTAAATGGGGCCTAGGCTAATTAAGTGCAGATAGCTAATCAGCAAAGGAGAGTGAGGTTTACAAAGGGTATGAGGTATTTTTATACAGGTTGGCCAAAGCGCCTGGTTAATGCCACCAAAACAGCAGTCCCCGGAAAGAGATCGTCTCACCTGACCATCTGCCACACCCATTTTTCTGTCTCTGCACATCTGACTGACAGATAACATATTTTGGGGTGCTTCCCAAAGCCAGAGCAGTAAACAGTCACCCTGTGTCTCTAGCTACATTTGGCTGAACGCCTGTGCACTTCCACTCCACGCATCTTAACCTTCTCTGTTTTGGCACAGCAGAGCAAGGAGAGGTGCTCACATCATTAGTGTTGACGTGCCAGGCCATATCGCCATAGGAGACCAGCTGGCCGTTAACATAGCAGCGGATCTCGCTGTTCCTCCAGCGGTTGTAGATGTGGACGATGCTGATCATGTACCACTGGGGAACAAACAGAAGCAACAAGGAAATTAAGGTCAGAAACAAATTAGACAGGAGTAAGTTCTACAGAGTATGACAGGCAGCCGGGAAAAAAACACAAGGGCACCTGGGAGATGTAGTACTTTCTGGCCTAGCTTGTCACTAGTTTGAATCTCTGCATAACTAAGAGCAGCTGCTTCTTTTTCTCAGTCTGCTACAGTTTCCAGATGATCCCGATCCAAAGGTGGGCTCCAGAGAGTGGCGCCGACAGGACGTCTAGTGCTATCTACCGTTCCCTCACATCTGCTGGGTCCCAGCTCAAAAATGTGGCTCTAAAAACTACTGTGAAGCTGGAAGCAGTGTGTACCAGAATTTGCACAGGAACATTAAAAATACATCAATACCAGACAAAGTGCAAGTCAGGGCAGTCATACAAAATAAAAACTCTGTCTTGTCTATCTTACAGAGAAGGTTTAGTTATTTGGATCCCATCAGAGAGTCACCACTTATATGCAGAGTAATGGATTCAGTGCTGGTTGAGGACCGTGTGACGCTCGAGGCAAACTTCCGCACTGGCACACACCACTGGAGAGAAAGTGAGCTCATCTGGCTATGTCCGCGCATCCTCTACAGGTGGCAGCTGCCTATGTCACCTATTGGGATGACTGGCAATGAGTAGACTCCTCTCAGTCCCAGTTCCTTGCGACGTGCTGATTAGACAAGATTAAGGGTCCAGTCATCGCTCACCGGCTTATAAATCTGCTCTTTGCAGATTCCTGACCTGAGCCTCCAGGAGTGGATTGACATACAGTGCAGTGTTTACCATGCCAAACCAGTCACTGCAGAAACAAGCTGGCAGATCAGGAACAGCCAGCAAAACAGCCTGCCTGCCACCTGCAAGGCAACATTAAGCGGATGTTAAGACTTCTGAGGGTGGATTTACATGCTGGATACAGAAATCCGGGCTCCTCTTGAAGTACCACCAAATCAGATTTGAGTTCTAGTCCACATCACTTCTGAAAAGACTGCTATGAAGGTCCCTTGCTAGTGCCTGCTCAGATCTTTTCTGGAATCCTCCAAAACAGGGCACAGGAACAAAGAAGCCACCTAATACTTTCAAGTGTGTTCTGAGCAAGTTCAACTGTCTGCCCTCGAGCTGGGGTCGCAGGCCGCAGGGAATGCTGTGAGAACGTGATAATGCTTATCCCAGAGCAGCAGCACTCACGACAGGCAGATCAAAACAAATGAAATTGTTGGTTTGCATGTGGCTTTCAAAAATAGATGATCTTCAAATACAGAGAGTACATAACTATCGTGGAATAGCTTCACACCACTTCTTTCCCTCCAAAAGAAGAGAAATGCTGATTCTGAAATGCTTGTCCTTAACTAGTGAGCTGCCATGCCATGATGCAGTGCATCCAGTGAGGGTGGACTCCACTGTGCATCTACAGTATAGCCGTTTGTGATGGCTAGTGATGACACCTGAAATATCCTCTAGATGCTGGGGTGTTGTTTTGTTTGGTGCAGACCTGTACAATGTCCGTGTGAAGTTGTCTCTGATGGTGACTCCCAGAAACTTAAAGTTGCAGACTTGAGCTTCTTTGCCAGTGGACATGGAAGTCTACCTCTTGCTTCCTGAAATTCATGGTCAGATCCTTGATCCCACTAACAATAAGGGAGAGACTGTTGTCCTGGCACCATTTTGCCAGGAGCCTAATCTCCTCCCTGTAGGTGGTTCAGGTCCACAGTGGTGTTATCATCACCCTTTTACCCAAGCTGGTTCCTTGTAATCTTCTAGGCTTCCATGAGGCCAGAACCATCCCGGTTCACCCACAATGACAGACCTTGGTTGAAGATTCAGAGAAAAGCTATTGTGACCTGCTGTCAGAGAGCAATAAAAATGGTTTTAATCTAGGTTTTAAACACTGAAAATTAAGAGTGGATTAATCGTAACAGATGCTTGTCAGTATTGTATTACAGACATGCCATATCAACTTCTACAGTGCATTGTCCCAGCATACCGCATAATTCCCTCAATTCCACCACTGCCTAAAAGCATGAAATACTTTATTATCATGTAAAATTTCTAACGCCGTCCACATTGCTTAGATGTTCTGATGGGATCGCCCTGCACCATCCCACAAGCCAGCACCGCAGTTTCTCCAGCGTCAAGCAAACCCTGTTAATGTCACAGTCTGTTTAGTGGAACCGGCCAAATTCTGTCAGCGTAGCAGAACTGATTCTCCGCGGAAGATCAATGGAAACGCGTTTATGAGAGATGGGAGCAGCATGGTCAATCGCTCCCCCCTCCCCCTCCCCCCACCCCATAATAACAGCTATCCAGAGCAGAATGCCGGCCCTCCCCTCAGCCAGGCCTGGACGCTCACCTTCCGTGGCTGGAAGTCGTATTTCACACAGTGCTGGAAACCTTTGCCCTTCGATTTCAGGGACGTCACTATCAGGCAGTTGCCCACAAAATGTGCGGAGTACCCGATTCCTTTGCTGGTCCGGAAGCTGAAAGTGAAGCAGAATGACGTGCCAGAAATGAAGGCTTTAATATACCTGAGAAGATGTCAAAGACATGGCGTAAAACAAAGCGGGTTTCCAAGAACAAATGAAATCTAAGAGCAAAAGTGTGATGCTACGTCTATGGTGACTAATACAGGTACATATTCCAGCCACTTGTCCAATACAGAGTCACTGGGGGGGGGGACTTTGGCAGGGAAATATGCTGCATGGAATGTCAGTCCACCACAGGGCACGCGCGCGCGCACACACACACACACACACACACACACAAATATACACATACAGTACATGCACACACATACACATACATACACACGCTGCTTATGCAGGATGCCGTCACAGCCTATCATGGGAGGCAAGCAGGGAGACACCCAGGAAATACAGCAGCCCATCACGGCCAACACACACCGTATGTGAATACTGCACAGGGACACCGAATCAACTGACCAGGCCAAACATGTGTCTCTAAAAGACATAAAGATTAAAAAAAAAAACCCGCTACATAACCAGGCTGCCTCCATCCAAAGAATAACCAAACCATAGTGGCTCCATGGGATTGCAGAGCAGCGAAGGGGAGCCGACTGACCTGCCCCCTCCTAATGCACTGTTGCTCTCTTATGCTGCCCAGAGGCTCTGGATTTTATGGGCAGGGTACTCAGAATTAGACTTGAAGAGTGAACTCAGGACCAAACAAAACTGAGCACTTTTTCTGCCGTCAGCAGGATTTGCCGTTTTGTAAATCAGGTTCTGTAACCCCAGCTCCAAGCGTCTTCCCACGAGCGCCTCGGCCAGCTCTGAGGGCTTCCGTTCTCTTAACTCAGCATTTCACGCTCGACCCGGCTGCACTCTGAGGAATAACCTTCTGGTCACAGCTGCACAGCCAAAGTGGAGGTCAGGGTGGCCCAGCATCCTCCACACCTCTAGAAAAAGCCTCATGTACAGGAGCGGGAACAACCAATTTGTTACACAAAGTCAATAAATGAGGTCAATTTTTTTCCGGGAGGGTTTACTATTTTTCCATGACTTTTTTTCCCTGCTCTGTTCTTGGAGCTGAGGGACAGCAGTCAATAAAAAACCATACTCCCTATGTATCGATCCCAATGCTAATTACCTACAACCCCCTGCGCATGACGGCCACTCGTCCCGCCAGGCATCCCGAGCTTAATATCCCTTCGTACGGCGCTGAACCCCCAGCTCCAACATAACTCCACTTCCAGTGCCAGCATGAAACAGCAGCGAGAGCCTCAGCAATTACTGATTTTATCGGCAGCTTTTGCTGTGACTGGATCTCTCTTCATAAGCCTCCGTTCTCCAATTATATGATGAAAGGGCCTGCATGTCTAAAAGGGTGAGAAAGCTGAGGCGTGCGCGATCATTCAGGCTCGGCAGGTTGGGGGCCCCACACCAAGTTCAAAGGGAATACAGAACCCATATTGCTCAAGACCCTCAATCTGCAGCCTGTGTCGGGGAAGAGTGCGGGGGGAGGGGGTTATAACCACTGATCTCACATCAGATCAGGCAGAAACTGAGGGAATCGAAGCCCATTCTCACCAGTAGAGATAAGGCTTGTCCTTGTCCACATTGATGTTGTTGAGCGGGTCCATGCGAAACCAGGTGTTGAGAGTGAATCCATTCTGGTAAGGCCACTTGGCGATGGGAGGAAGAGCGATGGCCTGTATGGGATGTCGTGCGCGCTGTCAGCTCAATGGCTTCCAGACAGTTTGATAAAATCATACAACACAGCTTAAGCTAAACCTTTCAGTCATTTTCTCTTACATAGCATACAACAAAACATAAAGAATAATGCATGAAACACCCCCCAAAAAACTTGTTCTCAGTGGATCCTGAATAAAGCACTTTAGTATGTACCAAATGTTATATTCGCTTTTAGTGACTGCAATAATAAACACATAACAGTAATAAAAAAAAAAAGTCCTGAAATGAAATAGGGATCAAACTTCTATTTCTAAAGACTCAGTTAGGGAGTCATGAATCAGTAACAGCAAAGGTGCCCTGCTCATAAACCCACTGGTGATGCTGCAGCATTACAGCCATGGGGGGTATTTCTAGATGTCATAAATGCCTTGGAGTTCACAGGAAGCAGTGTGGGCTGCAATAGGCTGTAAAAACGGAGAAGGCGGTACTCACGGCCGCACTGCGTCCTGGGAAGTTAAAGAAGGTGTCTGGGCCGTGCCTCTGGGGCATCTGATTGAGCACCGACAGTAACTTCACCGCGTGCCTCGGCTGAGGAGGAGGAGAGAGAACAGGGAGAAAATGAAGGTGTCTGTGAAGACGTACCGGAGAGGCCAGGACAGGTTAAGGAATTAAAGAAAACTGAGGCGCTAAAATTAATTAGATAATTTAGCTGCTACAATGACAGTTGACGAACATCCTGTTGAAAGCAAGTAGATCCCACCCCCCCCACTCACCCAGACGCCATTGTCTCCCCTTAGCATGCTGAAGAGCAGCTTCAGCTCTTTGACGGTGATGCTGTAGCTGGCCAGCACCCCCAGCATGTCCACCAGCAGGTCTGAAACACCATACACACCACAGTCAGGGTCGGCTCATGACTCGGGCAAAACGAGGATCCCACTCTAGGAAGAAGATCAACCCACAATGTTTAGATGGGTACATTCCCTGGACAGGGACCGGGGCTAGACTCTGATAGGAAAGCAGTCCTCAGAGAGTACAGTTGCTCATACGGATTAGTGAATCCATCTTCGTCTTAAGGAGATTAATCCCCAACTAAACACTGTTTGATGAATCTGAAGACTGCAGATACACAGGTGCAGTCAGCTGTGATGCCACTGTTTCCAGGAGGAGGAGGAGGAGTGAAGAAGATTTTAATTCTCTTGGAGAGGTGAAAAAAGAAAGCCTGCAATACGGACAAATGAAAGCAAAGTAAAAATGCTCTTTATAATGTCTATGGTCATAATGAGCATAATAGAGATTCTTTTCATAGAAAGATATCAGCCATGAGGGGATACTATACGGGAATGATATCAATTACCAGGGGATACTGTTTGCGAATGCTGTCAGCCATGAGGGGATACTACATGGGAATGATAGCAGCCATGAGGGGATACTACATGGGAATGATATGAATTATGAGGGAATATTGTATGGGAATGATAGCAGCCATGAGGGGATACTACATGGGAATGATATGAATTATGAGGGAATACTGTATGGGAATGATAGCAGCCATGCAGGGATACTATATAGTAATGATATCAATTATGAGGGGATACTATACGCCAAGGGTAGGGATCCTGATCCATGGAAGGCTGGTGTGGATGCGGGTTTTCGGAATGACCACTCAATCAGCCAATAACAGTGGGTCCCCAGGACTGGAATTGCAAACCATTGCTTTATTATTAGCTGATTGAGAGGTCATCCCAAACAACCACATCCACACCAACTCTCCATGGATCAGGTTCCCTACCCCTGCTATACAGGAATTATATTAGCCATGAGGGGATACTATACGGGAATGACATCAGTAATGAGGGGATACTATACGGGAATGACATCAGCCATGAGGGGATACTATACGGGAATGACATCAGTAATGAGGGGATACTAAACGGTAATGACATCAGCCATGAGGGGATACTATACGGTAATGACATCAGCCATGAGGGGATACTATACGGTAATGACATCAGCCATGAGGGGATACTATACGGTAATGACATCAGCCATGAGGGGATGCTATACAGGAATGAGGGTACTGTATATTCGGGAGTGATGTCACTCTGAAAATTAGTTCATATATTAAAGACAATGCAAATTTCAGACTTCATTATGTGCCATTTCAAATGGAAATTCCTCTGAAGGAGCTTCTCCAGGCCGTTAGCGACTGTGTCTAATGACATCTCACTAATGTCTTTAATCATCCTTCTTTTTCTCAGACTACAAATTTCACATGGGGACACAATCTGAAGTTAATTTAAAGTTAATCCTCATCCATGGTCTTGACTGATTCTGAAAGTTGCTCTTTTAACCTAATATTCATGGCTGCAGTAAAACTCTAATATTACATTCAAGGCCAAAACGGGTTTCGAATCCTAATGTTTGAACACTACTTTAGAATGTGTGCTATATGATTAAACAGCAACAGGAGTTTATAATAAGAATAGCTATTATTATTATTATTATTATTATTACTATTATTATTATTATTATTGTCATGTAATAGAGCAGGCGGGCCGCGCTTGGGGCCGTACCTGCGATCATGTCGTCAACGGCGCCCATCCTGGTCAGCACCTGCTGGATGAGGCCCACCTCGGTGCTGGTCTGCAGGTTGCGCATGCTTTTGCGCAGGATGGCCGTAAACATGCTCCACATCTCGGCCTGGCAGGGCAGGTCGCAGTGCTCCAGGAGCTCCACCATGCAGCCGATGCTCTCCGCGTCCTGGATGATGAAGTTGGTCTCCAGGTCGAACTCGCCACCCACCAGCTTGAAGAGAGGAGAAGAAAACGAAGAAAGATGGCGAGATAGTACGGAGGGACGGAGTAGCAAGGAAGAGATTTATCAGACTGTTCGGGCAGTGAGGCTCCCCTCTGATTGATTCTGATTGCATTTAAAATGCAGTGATACAGGCTATTCATGCAGGGTTTTCACTATCAAAGAAGCTGAAAATTAGGCATACAATAACCCGCTCTTCCTTTGCAAATATCATTAAAAAACAACTGGTAAACAGCAATCAATGATTTTATCTATTGAGTTCAGCAGGCATGAAATTGAGCACTGCGGGCACAAGGTGGAGGGGGGAGCAGGGGGCTGCCGGTTGACACTGCAGGTCAGGGGCTGATGACTCCCGCAGTGCGAAGAGGTGGAGCCTGTGCAGTTCAACGGCCCCCGTAGTGCGAGGAGGTGGACTCAGGGCAAGCTGATGGCTGTGGCAGTCCAAGGGGGCGGAGCCTGGGCAGGCCAATGGCCCCACCTCACTATGAGTGTTCCCCGCCTTGTGGTAATCCATTCACGTTGCATCCCCATGTTCCCAGAAGGCTTCTATCAGAAATGACATGGTGCCTCCAATAGCAACTTTAATCTGAGATGTATGACACACGGGGTCTCTTATGGACGTGTGTGGTGATGATTAATGAGAGGATGTCACGCAGATAGCAGGGCCAATATGGCCTAACTGTCTGGGTCAGTTGAACACGGCTTGTCACAAACGCCCGTCCACACATCCTTACTGTTGTCTCTTCCCATAATTCCAATACCGCCACAAGGTGCAGCTTGCTTCATAATTGCATCTATTCATGCCGCATCAGTCATCAGCATACTTATTAAAAACTTCTGAATTTTCTTCTGAATAACACATTAGTAAGAATATAGTTTGGAGGCTCCCAGCTCCTTAGCATAGACCTATGACTGTGGACAATTTGTTGCTCATTTACTCTTCTAGGGGTTGAGGTCATCTCGAGGGGATCAAGCATTAGTCAGGGTTAGAGCAAGACCAGAGCATGACAGCAATGCTGAAAAGGATTACTACCATGAGGACAAGTGGTCAATATGAAGGGAATATAAAACAGAAAACGATGAGCTATGCATATGATGCAACACTGATGACCTCCATGTATATAGCATGAAGCAGAATGAAGCATGGTGACTGTCAAAGTCCACCTGGATGATGTTGGCTTACCGTACCTCCGGGAAATTTACTACTACAACACAGTTCAATAAGCAATCTGCTTTTTCACTGTCTTGTGTTCATTAGGACATGGGAGTTACTGGCCATGATGGGAAGAATTGGGCTTTGAAGCAGTGTGATTATCATATGCAGTCAGTCCCCCTGCTGACTTAACACATACGCATATACATAAATAACTTCTACATAAATAACGCATCTTGTACTGGCTACTTGAACTATCTTATAATTAATAATTCCCCCCTTTAGTATTTAGCGGTACCATATGCAAATCGAACTAGGAAAGCAAAGCATGCTGGGCTGGGACACACACGCATTAGCATCACGATGGCTGAGCTGCCCATGAGCCTAACGAGCTACGAACTGCAGCGTGAAGCAGACTCTGCTGGAGCGCTCACACGCCACCGCCTCGACACGGCTCCTTAACCCCTCTTTGACGCTCTTTTTCTGCTTCGCAATCTCATCTAGGGAAGGGGGGGGGGTTGCTAACAAAGCACACATTCTTTACTACTCTGAGTAAAGTGCCGTAAAAATCGACTTTTAACACAGTGAAGTTTGTAAGGGAGGTGCATGGCTCAGTGACTAGGAAACGGCCTGTTTACAGTCTGCGGCGTGGGAAAATAGTACTGATTTTCACTAAGGTCAGACTTGCCAAAGTCACTCTCAGGTGAAACACTAAGTGGTGAACCAAATTTATGGAGGACAAGTGAGCTTGCTTGTTAAGTTGCACTGTAGTGTCACACCCCCAGGGTTGGTGGTCTGAATCTTGCCCCCTAGTTGCTTGTTTAGGAGCTATTGATGTCTTCCCTTTATTTATACAGGTTTCCTTTCACAGTCCTAAAGAAGTTTAAATTGATTGGTTTCCCCAGACTGTGCGTAGTGTGGGAGTGTGTGTCCTATGAAGGATTGGCAAACCAATATGGGGTGTCTCAGGGGTTCCTCACGTGGGCTCCTGATTCACAGTGACCCTGAACCAGATAAGGGGTGATGGAGATGGATGGACAGGACTGCAGAAGCATGACGACGCGTCCCAGAGTCTGTCTTGCAACCTGACGGATTCACCATGACAGTGGCAATCTTGCCTGACGTGCAGACAAATACCTTCACATGTTTTATCGCGTCAGCAGTAAGAACAGTAAGCCCCCGCCCGTGTACTCTGAGCCCAACAGAGCCTCAAAACGAGTGAAAACGCTAAAGCCTGGCTACAGCTCAATTCTATAATAAAGCTACATTAATAGACAATTTGTTAATGTAATTTTCTTGAAACTTCTTTATGTAAGAATATCCATTTCACATTAATGACCATAATTCACACAGCAGGGCACACCTGTAATACTCAATTTATAGAATTTAGCATAAACTTGCTAGTAGCCTTCAAATGAATTAATCCTATTTAAAGATCTGTGTTTTATATAAATAAGATCAACATCCTCTGAAAAATAAGGAGGCGAAATTAGAGCCAAAATCTTAGCTTTCACAATTTTTCACAAAAAAAACACACTGTAATATTTGCTCTTTGAACTCATGAACAGTGCTGGGCCACAATATGGCAGTATTGGGGCAAGTCCGTTCTAATGAGAACCACTAATGAGAATTAGAAAAACATAATTCAGCATGTGTTCCATGTGTCCATAATGGAACCAATATCTTATGCAGTCTGGTCCAGTTCATTGGGCTTTTATTTAATCCACCAAAATGGCCTTGGGTGAGTTTCCTGAAGCCTTCTTAACGCTACGTCATTCATAAGTTCTATCTTTTATCTTTTAATCCTGCCCCCGCCCTGTCTCCTCATGGTGCGTGGGATTCTATCAACAGGCCAATGACGTGCCGTTAGGTGACCTGCTGTCTCTACCTTCCCCACAGCGTGTGAATGTGGTTGCCCTGTGACGGACTGGCGTCCCATTCAGGGGGTGCCCCATGCCACCCGGGACAGCCTCCAGGCCACCATCCTCGACCCAGTTCTGGATACTTGGTGGGAACATCCAGGGCTCAAGAAGCACGTGGCAGCTAGCCAACACAAACTGACCGACCTTTGCAGACACAGTGGGGCACCCCAAGCCTTATTATATGGACAGCCTATATGGGGCAATAGTCACAGTTCAGAACACCCCCCCCCCTCCCATCAGCCCTTGGCTGGCACTACAAATTCCAGCAGTAGAGCATCTTATATGAACAAACAAATTCTCAGAATAGTGCCACCGTCATGGCAATTCTTAAAATTATTACTATTCACGCAGCACTATGCACTACAACCATTTTGCTGTACAGAAGCAACCCTCCCTCCCCCACCCCCACTAACACCGCCCCCCCTCCACCAGCCTCCCACGACAGCTGTGAGAGCTGAGCAATCAAAGGCTTCTGTCACTTTTCCAATCGAGCTGGTGCAGTGCCTCGTGCACAACCTTTAACTGCATCAGCATGACAGAAGCATCCCGGTCACTAGGGGGCGATATGTGAGGGGAGCTTATGTAAGTCCAGACGCCATTGCATCCAGAATATGACTACTTCACTGCTGCGAAGTACCAGTGTGAGCACTCTGGGAGAGACTGTGAATTTGTGGCAAAACAGACTCATGCCACATAAAGCACTTATCTTAGGACTGGTGGGAGGGATGAGGTCACCTACTGTAAGTGATTAAGTCATTTTTTTGCCATATTTTTCCGTCAAATGTATCTTTGGAGTCCTGAAACAAACCCATATGTGCACATTATGTCAGAGGGAAACTGCGCCAATTTAAATCTTTGTTGCTTGATTGCTCAATAAACCAATTTGATTGCTGAGCGAGTCAATGATCAATCATTTGGTTTGCTTATTTTCAGCAGACTTGACCACCGTTCTGTCTTCCTGCTGACATAAATCTGTCATTGCCTTGTTTTCTGTGGGTCCCGTGGCGTGTTGGAGATACACTGATAACTTGGCAGGTCATCACCAGTGCTGATCTTGAAGCGGCCTTGTTCTGATGGCAGACAGTTCGGCATCACTTCTGACCTGAAACACAGAAAGCTAACTCTGGGAGGAGGGTGCCTCGCCATCTCAGGGCCTCTTCCTACCTTATGTTACCTAACTCAGCAGGGCAGGAAATTTAAAATCAGCTTGTGATAAACATAATTTCAGATATATTAAAGGTAAGCAGAACTCAATCACACATGCACAACAGTGTAACATATGAATGAGGCCTATAGTAAACCTCAATAATAACTTATGACAAAAAGATCCCAGACGAATGAGAATGAGGCCCAGAAGCGGACAAACTAACTCTTTGGATGCAGCTTCTCTGTGTTTGTTGGTAGGAGATGCAACACAAATGATCAACCAGTGAAGAAACCGCTTCAGCGACGAGGACCAAGAAGGATCTGATGGTGGACTAGCTTTTAAGACAAAGATAAGGAGTTGATCCCACTGGAAATGATACAGGCAATCACTGCAAACTCCCCCCCCCCCGTCACAAACCGCCTGTGTGGCTCAAGTTCCAGCAAATCCCAACAAGTGGAGGTCAGAGGTCACCCTCTGCGCCTCAGCCAGCAGTAAGACACAGTTGGTGCCAAAAATATTACATAATTTGCATGCATTACACCACGTTTTCATTCAGAAGGTGCCCCTAGTACTGAACCAGCATGCCCGACAGCCTTTGTACTGTGGAGCTACCCCAATGCACCTGCCTACTGCAAACCATCCAAACACCCCATGTACATGGACCGGTCATGATCTTCATTTCTTAATTTTTCTTAAAGTTTTTGTTTTTACATTATTTTCAACTTTTATTTGAAATATGGTAATGTTTCATTTTTAAGATACAGTTCTC